CTTTATTGAGAAGCAGCATACAGCTTCTATAGATTGCTGAGACTGACCCTCCCTGGCCTAATGCTTTCCTTTTAACTCCTCCCCCCCCCCCCCTCCCCCTTCTCTTCCTCCCTCTGAAGATGCCAGCTGCTGGTGAAATGTCTGAAAATCTGCTGTCTAGACCACAGTCATGAAATCCTGAAGCTCAACAGAGTGCCCAACAGATACTGACCGTGAAGCCTACACCAGCATATTTAGATATTCCTTCTTCATTATTATGAGTCAGTGCATTGCATGGCTGCACTTAACTGGTGGGCAATACAAAGTTGGCTTGCAAGGCAGTCTCTTAAGTTAGAGAATCCAGCTTATATAGAATGGGACAATCCTGTGCATTGGCAGTAATGGCAGCAAAGTGTATGTGCTCCTTCATTTTTACTGTGTCAACAGATCATGCCCCAGCAGCCTGTCAGGATCTGCGTAAGCTAGAAATCAAAGCATAGTTAAAATGTAGAATAGTGATGCATAGTTGACAGGGTTAAATGTTAGAGTTGTTAATTGTAGGCCCGCTTGCTTGTTCCTGCCATAAAAGTCAGGAGAGAAGAGGAATTAAAACATTTAGAGCCAGGTGCCGTTATTTTGGTTAAAGGCGCCAACAAGGTCAAGCAGCCGTGAGTCCAGGAGAAAGGCGCGGAGAATTTCAAGCGGGAAAAGTAGAATAGAGGGGGGGGGGAAGGGGTTAAAAGGAAAGCTTCAGGCTGGGGAAAATTAGACTCAACAATCTATGGATGCTGTATGCTGCTTCTCAAATAAAGAAATCTTTGATGGAACCAAATAGAGTCCAGAGGATTTACTGAACTTGGGAACTGAGTGTGCAGACTCTGACAATGAACCTATTCCCCACCATAGTGGGATCTCACTGGCTCTTCACATATCCATGCACCCATGAGAATACCCAAACAAACCAGTTAATCCTCACTTTGCTGAGTATAGGGGTTAGGATAGATCTCATAGGAAAACTCTCACAGGACAAGTAGACAACACAGTTAAGCTGGTATCAATATCAGAAGCCATGCTAGAATTAGTGGGGGAGTTTTAAACACCATCAGGGAGAACTCTGGTTAGAAGAAGCTTGTTAAGAAGAAACAGTGTGATGGCTGGCAGCTAAAATAAAATAACTGAGAGGTATTGGTGGTTGAACATGGGTCATTTGTTTTAGTAAAAACCCAATATGGGCTGGTAAACCTGAGTTGGATTTGTTTGTGGGCAGTTGGGAGGATTGCCCCAAAAATGGTTTGGACCCTATCTGAAAAAGAATACTGAAGAAGAGGTGCCACTGTAGGATCTTTCTGCTCAAGACAGAAAGCTGTCAGTAGAGCTGAAGATGACAGAAGAGAAGATCAAAGGTTTACCTGCCAGAAAGAAAACCCAGCAGACAATGAGCTGCCCATCTCATTGATGAAGTGATGCTGGCCAGTATAACCTTAAGCCCCTTCTTAACTTTAGATAGAAATAGTTTTAGTATTTAGAAACATAGAGGGGCACGTGCATGCTACTCACACCCATGTTAAGCTTGGATCACAATATATTGTAATGGTATGTGGAATGACCTTGGGAGATAGGAAGAAGAGCTGGAGCCTAGATGATGGTCTGGTAAGTGAAATCTGAGTCCAAAGCAGGAGGGGTAGGGAAAGCTTCTCAGAAGGGACCCTCCCTAGTTTTCAGGAGAGTAAAAGCAAGGGATGGGAGGGGTACTTTCAGACCTGCAAGATTCTGTTAATGCAACCTTACAATAAAGATAGAGTTAGTAATCATAGTGATGGTTCTTGTCTGGACTACCTTGAAGGATTAACATATGTACATTTACATGCACTGTATATTGGAGTTCAGAAACAAAAAGTCTCCCTGGTACTTTTGGAAATTATTAGTCAGGAAAGGAAACTTGATATTAGTCAGGAAAGGAAATGTGAAACAATTAGTGAGGCCTTGAAGCTAGGAATGTGGATCTCTTGACTGTTCTGAAAAAGTTGCTTGAAATTGCTTCTTACTGACCTTTAAGTGAATAAAGCAGAAAAAAATCTGGAAAGTGGTATGGTCCCCCATTTCCATCAGCTCTCTTGAACTGTGAATTTACCCTGTCACAAAGGATTTAACTTGAGAGATGCTTCTGTTGCTCAGAAGCAGAGCATAATGTCTCAGTTTGAAACTATGCTATGTACACAGAGAAAACTACACCAAGCTCTCCTGATCAAGAATCTGACTTGCCACTAGCAATTTCCTGAATTCTGAACTAGGTGAATCTGTGGGGTCCTGCCAAAGTTCTCCACAAAAGAATAATTGCTATGCTGGATCAGGCCAGTGATTCAATGTAGGGCAAGTTACGGTTCTCTCCACTCCTTCTTGAGTCTAGCAGAAAACTAGACTGATGTAAAATGTGCCATCCCCATCCCCATCACCAATCCCTTCCTGACTTTATGGTTTATTTTTCAAGTCACTGTAGCCTCAACCTCCCTCCAATCTAATAGGTAACAAAACCTAACAGAATTTATTCAACTTGAGTCTATCCTTAGATGGTGTTGGAAGAAATGAGAAAAGACAGCTTTGTCACTGGAGTACAGCTAAGGATGATTTAAGTCTATCTTACTCATGGGGTGGGGATGAGATAAAGATCACAGAGACACAGCAGATATAAGGGGTTGCCTTCCCTGAGGAAAGTGAAATAGCTACCAGAAAATTCAAACTTTTTTTTGGGGGGGGAAACATATTTAGAAATTTTAGATAATTCAAATAGAGCAGTTTCTAAAATTTACATCATTCGTGTAGCATACAAAACAAATCCTGAAAGAAGTTTGGGAGGCAGAAACCATAGATCAACCAATGCAGGAAATAATATGGCATAAAAAACTTTTCTGAGTTATTCCTATATTTGTTAAGGAGAACTCTTCACTTATAAATGGCACTACACTCTTGCTCAAAAAAGTTACAGAATCTCACCCTCCCCAAACTCTGTGGACAAAAAGGAACTTTTTTACATCTTTGGTGGGAATGCCCTAAAATAAAAGTCTTTTGGGATAAGGTAAGTGAAATAACTATATTAACTCCAAACTATTTGTAGCAGAAAATTAAGTTTGGTGTCGGTCTGTTCCGGGCTCAGTTTAAGAACTACATCAAAACATATGTTACCTACTCTGCTGACAGCAGCCAAATTAACAATAGCCCACTGTTGGAAATCAACTCTTCCCCATCACTTGACAAAGAGTTAAATAAACTATGGCATATGATACCTATGGAAAAATTAACATGTAAAATGAGATGCATTAAAGAATATGCAGAACCCCCAAATCTTTAAGCTTTGTGGCATCCTCTTAATAGTACAAAAGGAAAAAGGAAAAAAGGGGGTTGCTACAGCATGATTAAGCCACAGCTTGGGGCAAGTGAAGAAAGGCCCTTGATCAGTACAATCTCGCTTACCAAAGTTACTAAACGGTGACAGAGAATTCCGGCTCTGATTTTGGAAGAGAAATAGAATGAAGGTTTAGCAGCCACTGCTGTTTTGCTTCAACTCCGGATAATCTTACCTGATTCAGAGAATGGGGAGACAGAATAGACCTTCCTTCAGATCTTTTCTTCTTTTCACAAAACAAATAAATAAAAGAACATACAGTTAATGGCGTTCTCTGCCTCACAGCAAAACAGCAGGCATTTGGGTGACCGAGCAGTTAGAGACATGTGGGCAGAACAGGGCTGTTTGCCCTGAAAAAGCAAACGGCATGTGACGTCACTAAGAGGCTTCACTTTGAAGTGAAAACCTGATTTCCTCCTTACTAAGGCAGGAAAGTTGAAAGGAGCACATTTAAATAAACACACACAGAATTCATGATGCTCTGAAGAACACAGCGTCATCCTAAAACACATTTGTCACTTTCTTCACCAACAGGGCACCTGTGCTTTTTCAGAACTGCTGAGCAGGCTGAAATTCAACTGAGGGAGCCATTTCTATCCTGCCTGCTCTGAAAAACTACCAGTGTTTGTTCCTGACTGCTAGATGACTATGGAAGGCACAACAACTCAGCTATTCCTAACAGTAAAGATTACTCTTCACTCAAATTCCCTTGCTTCTTAAAAAAAAAAAAAGAGGATAAATACCCTTGCTTCAAAAAAAAAAACATTGGTACAACTTATGCAGATTTTGAAATTGTTGGAGGGTGGGTTAGAATAGGGATTGATATGAATGCAAACAGTGTCATATAAACTAGGTAGATATTTATGCATTATTAAGATACAGGGGACTAGACTAGTAGGTTTATACTTAGATGTAGTACAAAATTGGGCTAAGCCAGTGCTCCATAAACCACAACTGGCTGGGTTTTGCAGAACATATTAAGACAATGATTTACAAACTCTGCTGGTTGAATTCATATAGGACCTTAATCCAAAACCAGACAACCACATTATGGTTAAGTATGTTGTACAAACTCAGCTACAGTTATGGATTCAGTTATAACACTAAAACATAGTTTAATTGTGATTTGTTGAATAAGCTGAGTGGCCTAGTTCAGGCATAATATCAAGGTTTACAAGACACAAGGGCTGGATTAACATAATCTAAACCTAAATTAAAGCAACAACATTATAGCTTTGTGTAATGTGCAAATAACTTTCTAACAGGAGGTAAGTACTGAACATCAGTACAGGCAGGAATCCTGAGATTTAACTATGTGCCATCAATTCATTGTCGACTCTTAGTGACCACACAGACAGATTCTCTCCATGATGATCTGCCCTTAACTTGGTCTTTCAGGTCTTCTAATGATGCATACATCAACACTGTAACTGAGTCTACCCCCCTTGCTACTGGTTGTCCTCTCCTTCCTTCCACCTTTCCCAGCACTAGAGCTTTCTCCAGAGAGCTAGGTCTTCACACAATGTGTCTGCAGTAAGACAGTTTGAGCCTGGTCATCTGTGCCTTGAGTGGGAACTCTGGGTTGATCTGTTTGATCATCCATTGATTTGTTTTCTTGGCTGTCCATGGTATTTTCAGGAGTCGTCTCCAACACCAAAGTTCAAAAGTGTCAATACTATTCCTATCTTGCTTCTTCAAAGTCCAACCTTCACTTCCATAGATTGTCACAGGGAATACCATGGCTTGCACAATTCTCATCTTTGTAGATATAGACACATCACAGCATCTGATTATCTTTTCCAAAGCCTTTGTGGCTGCTCTACCAAGTGCTAGTCTGCTGCGTATTTTTTGACTGCTTGCTCTTTTACTGTTGATAGTTGATCCTAAAAGGCAGAAGCTATCCACCACTTCAATACCTTTGTTGTCATTTCTAAGGCTGGTTATTCTAGCTGTTGTCATTAGTTTAGTCTTCTTTATATTTAATTTTAGCCCCATTTTTTTCACTGTGCTCCTTGACTTTTATTACTAGAACTTGCAGATCCTTTGCATTTTTGGCTATCAGGGTAGTTTCATCAGCATAGCACAGGCTACTGATGTTTCTTCCTCCAGTTTTAAAACCATGCTCATCTTCTTCCAATCCAGTTTCCCTTAATATATATAGGTTGAATAAATAAGGGAGAGTATACAGCCTTGTGG